CTTATAATTAAGTTATTTCCCACCTATTGTTGTTTTCGATCCTTTTGTTTTCCTTTGTTAAATGGCTTGCTTTTTTCTTATTGGTTTGTTTTCTCTCTCCTCTACTATATAAACATCTCTCTYACTCTTACTTTCTATTGACTCCGACGAAGGACTAACGTCTGAAACGTCAGTTACTATTTTCACTACGGTGTATAATTTATCATTCTACGATAACTGTTTTATTAGAAACACCGACGTAGTCCGCGCTAGTGTTTACTAGCCATCATCTACATTCTGAAAATTTTGTTTACCAAAGACCGTCCCACCCCACTCCTCCCCCCAAAAGTAATTGACACAAAACTCTTCATCAAAATAATATACTCTTCCAGAGAGCTGTAAAATATCTTAAGTGCCGATTACCCTGTCACAACTGTTGTTCCAATCAGCTCTATTCATAGCAATCAAAGCAGTTATTATTACTATTTTTATTTATCTATTTTTATTAACTTCTCCAAGAATGAAATATGTAAAAAATTAACAACAGAAATAAAAGGGAGGGTGAAAACTTGACAGAATAGCCAATACTTCTGGCAAATGAAAGTAGCTGTGGTATCATAGATGTGTTATGGTCACTTTTAATAGTATTAGCACATCTACAGTACAAGGAACTTCTAGTCCATTCCCCCTTCCCTCCCTCCCCTATTAATGGTCACTACAAATAACAACAGAGCTTAGACGACAAGGGGCTGACTTCAACATTAAAGTTATAAAATGACAGAGTTATATACAACTACAGTGTTACAGACCACAGTGTTTCTCAATATCAGTGAAAAAATATTTAGTTTTGTTATCAGAGTCAACAACAGAGAGTCCAACAGATCACTAAATAAACCCTATAGCTACGCTATTCACTTGTCGTTTCAGATGTCCTAAATATATCCTACTATAAACATGATAAAACAGCATAGTATCTTATAACGTTACTTACATTAACAAAACTAAGACAATTAAAACAAATCCCTTTATGATAAGACTGAATAAAATGTAGTTTGATTAGTGAGATCGTAATTTACAGTAATGGAGGAAAATACAAAGACAAAATATATGATCATAAAAAAAACAAAAACAAACATTGACTATAGAAAGAAGTAACTTGATGATACCTTATCTTATTGGCTATTATATTTAGCTGGAAATAGAAGGGGGATCACCATACATACCCCGATTTCAACATGACACTTTCATCACCACAATCACAAGCACCTCCAGCTTGACTCTTGAACATGTTGAAATCATGTCCTTCGTGATTGCCAGCATGAAAGCAATCAGCACAGATCGACATACATGGCGATATACCACAGTCTCTACACCTATAAGCAACAAAGTTCCTGTTCCATACTAGTCCACAGATAGTAGGATTATCGTAAGATTTCACCGTGACTTTAAATTCCTCTGGTGTTTTACCTCCCGCTATCAACCACCAACACCAAGATTTTTTGTGTTCGTCGAGGGACTCTCTGGTTTTAAGGATCCCATCTAGGAACCCTCTGATCTCCTTTCTTCCTTTGTCTGTGTTGCAATGGGCTTTAAAGTTAGCAGCAGTGCTCTGCTTTACTCGATCTGCCATCATTTAATTATCGTTGCCACCATCTCGTGTTCTCTTATGATTTTTGTTTGATGCATAACATTGCAAATGAGCATGCGTCGTAACACACAGGGAGCCCAAGCAGGGCCAGTACATGTGGGTTGTGACGTAACTCCGGGTCCAGCTTTTCACAAAAAATAGCGAATATAACGCAGAAATTGTTCTCAATCATGCACGCTCCACCTTCACCAATTAGAACTTTGGATAAAAAATGCTCTCACCAAGAAAGAGTCTTAAAAAAATGTTTAATGGAATGCTTCTCGTTTTTGACCCGGAAGTCGTTTTTCCATGCGAATGGTCACACCGCAAAAGCTCTTATGGATATCCGACCTATAAATCGTTCAATTTGATCACACTAATAACCGCGCTATCTTCGTYATACGCAATATTTGAATGAAACTAGAGCCGCAAAACAAGAAAAGAGAGGAATTTTTTTTAGAATTCGAAAGTCCAAAATATCTATTTATACTTTCGTTACTCGTCGGGGCTTCTAAAAGTAATAAAAMAATATCAAATACTTCACATTTTTTGAAAGCCAGCTGGTAAATAGTGCATTCGTAAAGTCATCATGTCATTTTATTTCTTTATTCGTTATGATGCATAAATCTGCTTGGGATTCCTGTGGTTTTAGTTACCAGTCTTTCTCTTCTTTCGAGGCATCAAAATGGAACGCCTTTCGATAAACGTGTTTCGAAGCTGCAAAGTTTTGCAGACTACTGTACTTTGGAAGATTTCTAGATTTCAGTTCAATTTTTGTAGTACCTTCCACATTCAATTTATATTTTGGTGAGAAAACAATTTAGTTAATCAAAAGTCAATGTATTACAACGCTATTGGCTATGGTTTCTGTTATTTTGACCTCAATTTATTGCATCGTAGGTTGACCCCTATTCTGACAGAGGAGACAAGCATGGATACAGTCGCAGTGAAATACAAGGAGCGAGGGTAACCCTAGCACTACAAGGGTTACCCGCTAAGCAGGGTCAATAGATCACTGGTCTGGATTACAAGGAAAAAATTTAGGTAGGGTAAATCTAGTCGTATGGCCAATCAAGCCGTACGGTAGGGCTTGTTATCAAATGCCAAACAAAAGACATTGGCGGTAATTTTGAATTTAAAGCTATTTTATCTGTTAATATTGCAATTCTGCAGCTATTGATTTGCTGGTTTATAATGAATATTATGCTATTCGTGATACAATTGAGGTTTTAAAACCGATAAAAAGTTTACCTCGGGAAGAGGAATTATTCCTATAACCACGACTTTGCAAGGGAAAACTTAAACTGGTAACCGTACCCCTAGGGTAACCTGGGAACGCTTGCAAAGGCCATAGAATAAAGAAGAGAAAACACTGTAGAACTTAGGGTATTGCTAGTGTAACCCTAGTGGTGGGTTACCCTCGATCCCTAGGGCCTCGTAAAGAGGCCCTAAGCAGTCGCAGTCATTACGATGATTCTCGGTTTTTAATCGGATAAACTTCAGTTGAAACTTGGGTCCAGCATTCTTGCAACACAATTTTCCACCAACAGGTTCACCATGTACCATAGCAGCATCAGGAAAAAAAAAAATTGACGAGAAAGTCGTTTCACGAAAATTTTCAACTACTTCGTTCTTCCTGACGCGTGTCGCTAGGCAACGCATAGACTTCCAGCCAAAAGTTCCACCCGATAACTTGGTTTGTAAAACCTGTCTCACAGTAATTTTAGAGCCGTGTAATGGCGAAGGTCTTTGCACAGTAAATCAGTAATGAATACAGCGGCCAAATATCGCAAARTTTTGGCTTTGCGATTTGAAAGAAAAATCATTAAATGAGATTGAACTATAGCATGACATCGTAAATTATATTAATCAAGCAAAGACTCCGAGGCCGTGTCATCTTCACGTACAGAAGCAATAGCGGCTGAGGCGGACAAATCAGCCAAGGTCTTGATAATTTACAATATTACTGACAAAAACAGAGAAAAACGCCATGAACTCCGTGAAAACCGGTGATAATGATAAAGTAATGATAATGATTTTAAGGGGGTTGATTTGTTTAACAAGAAAGGCATCACCTAGCATTTTTTAGGTTTTACCTTATCCTTTATTTGTATTATTTTTCGATCGCAAAGGAGGTTGGCTAGCTGTATAGCCACCCAATCCCCGGCCCCGGATTCGCTTTTATGATAGCGTGAAAACCGCGAACTAAGTAAAACTGCGTCGCATTAAAAGGTGAGAATGCATGTGGAACAATTTCTTCGTGTTACCAAAGGCCTAAAGCTAAGACAAGCTAAGACAGTTATTGCCTACTATGTTTATTGCTTGACTGTTAGGGTTAACGTCTGTCGTTTATACATCAATGGTTTCTCATCCAATCTTAATATTTAAGGGCATTTACGATTGATTTCATGATGTCTTTCAAGTGTCTAAGTGTATTATCGCAATTTGATATCGCCATTCGTTTAAACGGTCTCGTTTCGAGAGCCCAAGATAGGGCGTATTTTAAGAATGTTAGAGAGAGTGCCGTGTGATTTGTTCATGAAAATCAGGAAAGCCAAAAAAAACTCTTTAAAAAATCCCTTCAAACCTTCAATTTTTATCGATACCCTGAAACGACGCCAGGAATGATCTATTAGTCATGACCGTAACTAATTAATCGATCAAACCCTGTAACAACCTCTGACTGATTTAAGCCAGTCAGTGCACTGCTAACGCGCAGATTGAATTTGATCACGGGCAAGATCAGGAAACATCCTCTCTCCACTCCCCTTCCCTCCTCCCCTTATTACCACATGTTTTGCCAGGGTAAGCTCRTCAGTATAAAGCTGTTRTCAAAGAGCGCCTTGGGGCAAATAAAATATCAAAAGCAAAACAGGTTTTTTTATATTAATTGAATGCAATGAGGAAAAGAGTAACAGGCACCCTAAGATCCCGCGTTTACGCCCATGAGCATGCCAATTACAAAACCACCTTTGATCTTTTGGCTTTTAAGATTCCAGCGGCTTGTAATGAACACGAAACGATTTCATGGCTGCGTCTTATCTTATATTCAGCAACAACGACAACAACAACAACAAAAACAAGCAAACAAACAAAAACAAGGACGTATAAAGTGAAATATAAAACCTTTTTATTATATAACTTTGAAATAAATATATCTGTATCGAGTTAGTCTAATCAGTAAACAAGAGAATTCTGAAAACGGTTCGTACAATGAAATTGGAGAGAATATATAAGATCATAGTTAACTATTAACTATGATAAGATATARAATAACCATATTATCTTATGTAABAGACTAGAGTGACCACAGTAAATCCGTGAAACACTAATTACTAAATAGTACAAAATAGTGCTAGTTAAACAATAGAAAACAGTGAAATTTGCATGAARTTGTRCTAAAGTTTCACGGATTTACTGTGGTCACTCCAAATGGAGACTAATCTCCCTTATATATTGTGAGCAAAGTCGGTATAGCCAAGATAATAATGATAACGAATACAAACTGATACAGTTTAAAGGAAGACTTCTTTGTTTAAAAAAATATAGGGATTTCAAAAATTCAGAAATGACTTCTTTTATTTACATAATATAATTCTCTTTCTTTCTTTCTTTCTTTCTCAGAGAAGACGTTTCAAATTTACCGTAGTTTCTCCGAACTTTGAATAGCTAGTGCAATAAAAGAAGCATTTCTTTACTAGAGGCAAACACCTTACTAATGGCATGCACGGTTAAGAAACTCTRAAAAGAAAAGTATTCTATAATTATCTAAGGTCTTGTGTGTTTTGGTTCATGAAAGACTTTCATTACTCTATAGGGCACACAGTATTTGATATTCATACAGCTCATGCATGAGATAATTTTTGTCAACATCTGTAAGACGCAAAAAGTGCACTAACTAAACAAGCAWTAACATTTTACTACCTTTAAATAGTTTATAAKGTAACAAACCTGGCATAAATCATCYTTGGGAAAACGATACTTTTGAAGAAGCCGTTGTCATGAAATGAGCTGCTTTGGATTTCTTAAGTAGAGATTTTGTCTTTCCAGAAATATAACTTTTGTTTTTTACTCAGGGTTTTGTACAGAACCAAATGATTTGAGATGATTGTTACAGATTTGATTAATTACTTTGGTGAAGGGATAATAAATACCTTTTTATATCACATTTGTAAACGAATTAATATATATAACAAGAACTCAAAACTACCTATCTTATTTTGACTGTTCATATTGATAAATGTTCGGTAGCATCCATGCAGAAATATATATACATCATGATTACCTAAACTATAGACTTTTGTAATATTTTTAGCAATTTCTTAGTGGAAATATCTCTGAATTCTAATATGGTCTAGAGTGAAGACTTGCCTGCCATATCGATGCCACATTTCTTGAGCTATCGGTGAAAGTGCTYAGTCCACTCATTAATGAACTTGGCTGACAATTTGCCAAAGAATTACTTAAATTGTACATTTGTTGAAGCGTAGAACTCAAATTGCTAAATGAATTCGCATGGTTTCCACTTGCATTTGTTGATGGGAGACTTCCATAACCGTTCGGGTTCTGTGCACCGAGGTTCTTCACTCGATCTTTGAGCTCATGTTCCAACGCCTTTTCTACTAATTTATTCTCTCTTTTCCATCTCATACGCCTGTTTTGAAACCATATTTTTACTTGCTTTTCGGTTAAATCTAAAGACTGCGCTATTTCGATTCTTCTTGGTCGACACAGATATCTATTGTAGTGGAATTCCTTTTCCAATTCGACTAGTTGCTTGGTTGAATAGATTGTCCTATTTAACTTATCCATGGCTGTTTCTTTAGCTGGTGGCGCCGCTGGGAAAAAAAAATCAGAAGTTAAGACATTTAGATATTATAAATTCAGCTATTTCATTTCTTAATTACTTAAGCGATATATTTAACGCATGTTTGTGGATATTTTGAATCGCAAGATTAAACATGAAAACTCAAAAATATTATGCCATGAATGATGAACTGAACAAACATTTTCGCCATGCGAAATTGTGCAAAAAGTTACAATAGGATGTGTTTACCCTGATAATATCTGAAGTGTTTTCTCAAATGCGTTTTTATTTGTCGGACAAAATGGAATTGAAAATCCAACAACCTAAACAGATCAGCTCAAAATTTAATTTCTGATTTGATACACTCGACAAAACACGCGACATTTTATGCGACAGTATTTTTTTAAAATGGGATTTTATGTGATTCGTATCATCTATACTAAGGTACATTCGCTATCCCAAACCWATATTTGAAATAGAGAATCCTTACTTTTAAACCTACAATACTTTTCTTTTTAAGTTAGGGCCTTCTTGATCGTAATTGTAGTCTAAGTAGAAGGATGTGTGTTTGAGTTTCATGCCTTCTCGGAATGGCCAAGTCACGTTTCAAAATCAATTTTTTCTCCAGCACATTTATGGATAGCAACTTTCTCCAGCGACCTATACAACTAACCATTCTATTTAAGGCACATTAACTTTATTATTATTATTATTATAATCAAGGGGTAATCTTAAAGAGAGAGAGATCTTAATTCCATTGTTGAATTCTTGCAGTAAGCAAAACAAGATTTACCGAGTRTGATTCGAGCCCAAAATCGAGTGACTTTTCCCATCAATGTTGGCACTTAATTTGACTATAATTTAATACTTCTTTTGAAAATTAACGTGTCTATAATGCACTAGTTCTAAACTTTAAAACTTGAGAGCTTAAAGAAGTAGAAATGATATTTAATGGACCGAAAACTAGAATCGCCATTTGTGAACGAGTAGTATCTAACTTAGGACAGATCCGGTATGTAAAGGAACGCGATGCTTAATTCATCAAAAAACATTGAAAAAATATATAAATAAATGAATCTTTTTAAGCATATTATCAGAAAACGAACTTGATRCTATTTTTAATGGTTGGATGTACAAATTTTAAGCTTATTTTGAAGAAAAAGGATTCAACGTGAAGCGTAATCCAATTTCAATTACTTTTAWAGTTGAATTTTGAACGCTATGTTGCTAACTATAAACCTAAATGAACATCAAAAAAGCTAGAAGATACAGGGTAATCTTCATAAGCTACAAATAAGAATAAAATAAGGGTTCAATAGCAGTAGATAGTGCAAAAGCATTGAATTTGGAGCGGAAAAAGGACTATTGTTTAAAAAAAGTGTGAACGGCAAAGAATCTTAGTGTGTTGTTTCGATACGAAAGTTAAAGTTGTTAGTACTTTGATGGTTGTTCTCAGAGAAAAATAATCTAACTTCGCTCGTAAATACATAAGGAATTTAACAGAATATTTGGCTTTTTGTTGTACAGGTAATATTTAGACTTACTGGCATATGCTAAGGCGCCACAAGTCGGTATAAAGAGGATTACAACACATTTTGGTCATGGCGCCTAACGCATTAGTTACTCAATGGCGCCAACGACGTGTCTTGTCTTGAAGTTTCCAAACATCCACCTAAAGCCTCAACTACTTGGTATAAAATCCTCCAAGTACCACAAAGGGTTTTCTTCTGATGGAATTATATTTTTTGKTCGATGGAAAGAAATAAATGAAGTAAAATAAAGAGCCGAGCTCGAGGCCGGGAGACGAATTGGCTAACACCTTCATTTCGGAAAACATTTTGTGTTAACAACCTTTGTTACTACTAAGTCTTAAGCAAATTAAGTCAAAAAGACTGATCTTAGAATATTCATTAGAAATTTTCAGAACTAAAATGCTTCATAAAATTGAGTTTAAAATMTTGTTATCAAACGAGGCAAAGAGCRCACCGCGTATACGGAACAGTCCCCACCCACTGCAGATATTCAAAGATATCATTCCAGCATAGGACARCTACCTCAAATTAGSGGTATATTGMATTGGTTTAACAGATTTCGTACCTTTAGCTCTATATTCAGTCATCCATGGATATATCTTTTSTTTAGCAGTTTCTTTTTCTACGTCTTCAGCGTTTTTTAAGTTGTTCGATACAGGGGTCAGAGATTGCCTCGGAGGGACTGTTGCACTGTTTTTTTCCATGTCAAATATCAGGGTGCAACTACTCAGTAAACGTTTGGTGTTCTAAGCCGAAAACAAGAATGAATGATTTGACGAGGTTCTGACCTTTCCAATGTTTTGTAGKCAACTATAACAACGTGGCTTACGGTATGCGAAGAGGTCAAGTTTTGGCAGAATACGACTAGTCAAAAACTGATGATGCATTATGATGTATTAGTCTCGGTCATGTGACCTCAACAACGACCAATCAAAATGTTCGTAGGGTCATTGAACTTGGCTAAGAGTGGTCGCTTCGGGTAATGAGATCTATCTTGTCATGTATCTGTCTAGAGACCATTCATCATTGGTAAATAGGTCCTGTCTTCAAGGCTCAGTARAATCCTTAGCTAAGATCAACAATTTGAAGCATATTTTATGAACATCGTTTTTTTCAAGTACCTCACGAAAGTGTTTAAATTGTACTTTGTATGAAAGAGTTRAAGCCATCACTCCCCTTGTGCGATCCCGCTTTCCAGTACAAACTCGCCTTTTTGTACTTTATTTTTTCCATAATGAAATTTGAGAGTCCACTTCTATTTAACGTTGAAACCTACTTTTGCAAAATTAACTCGTGTGCTCAGAGTCTTCAATTCAAAATCCGCTCAACAAATTTTCTTTTGTTATAAACTTAACAATGACTAGTATAGCAACAGCTTCATTGTTTTTGAGGAAAGTCACATACGAGACGCARAATAAAACAGCCGTGTTCCTAATTAAATAAAGACTCGATGGTTTCAAAGGGTATGTTTTAGGACTTCATCGATCATGCTGTCAGGTTCTGGGACTGGTTGGCTGCGATAGTCCTAAAGTAGGACACTCAAATAACAACGACGCGAAATAAACCATACTTCAACCTCAAATAGATTCCTGATCGAGAGGAAGAATACTACTCAAAATATTATCGGGTAGAATATCGCGATTTTTAGGTGATCGAGGTCACGTCTGCGCAATGAAGGCAAAGAATCTCGGCAAATTTATGCGGCCCACCCACCCATCGACCAAATACCAATGCGGTACATTAATACAAATACCCGCAACTTAGTATCCGGCACAGGTTTTGGCTTCCCCTCGAGAAAAGAGCGTACAATTTTGATTTTACAAAAATAATACTAAGTTCAAAAATAATACCATAATAAGTCCATGGCCATGACTTTGGTTTATACAAAAATAGAAAAATAGTTAACCTTCTGAAAAATTTCACGTTCAAATTATGGTCATGGTCATATACGCTGTTTATATATCTGGTATTTTTCCCCAGAAAAATGCCTGTTTAAAGCAAGAGTAAATGGACAAAAATTCCCTAACAAAACACCCTTGTATTACACGATTCTCAGTGCCCATTATAAGTTTTGCAAATGGCGTTTCAGCCACAATACCATTGCACAACCTCACTTTTTCCCCAACGAAAACAAAAACTTAACTCCACAGAGATAGGAATCTGAAAAAAATAACTGTATAAAGATAATACCCAGATATCTTAATTACAAAACTTCTAAATTGTCGGTCAAATGGGCATTTATTTTCTCTTTGTCTTAATTCCAATTTCTCATTCTGTTTTTGTTCGTTATTTCGGTACAAATCAAGAAATATAAATACTGTACAATTAACTACAGAAATATATTCCCATAGAATCCGTTTCTTGTCGTTCTTCAGAAGAAGGATATTCGTCATTCTAGAGTTATGTTGACTAGGTATCGGATGGTTGGTGTTTTTAGCAGCTGATCCATCATTGTCAAGTATATCATGTACAGGAAAATACAGCTGTGTACTTCAAGACTGATACCGGATCATGAACAACAGATTAGCYTGAATAGTATAGTTCCTTAGGACAAGCATAAATCGCTTGGTGCCTGGCGCATTACAGAATTGCTTCGTGGCGCCAACTTACGGTGTTTTTCTTCTTGAGAATTTTACACACCAACATAAGACCTCTTCTCGGCAACCGYAATTTGAAAACAAAGTTTTTCTTTGTCATCACTAATTCATATGCATATGATGATTTTAAACAAAAAAAAAAGGTCTCCCCCTCTCCACTGGTCCACCTCTTCTCCACCTTAAAAATGRTCCAGTTTTCGTCGTTTCAAAGAAAACAGCGCTCCAAAAATTCATTAACAGATGATCATATGAAAAGTGCTCTTGCTTGTGAATTCGACCTAACTCAGGTTTTCAATCTGTGGGCTAGCAGTGCCTTGACTTAGATCAGGCCAGAGGTCGTTTCTAGGGCTCGATCTGTGAGTTAGCTGTGCCCTCACTTAGGTCATCCCAGAGGTTGTTTTAGGGCTCCAACTGTGAGTAAGCCGTGCCCTGACTTGGGTCAGCCCAGAGGTTGTTTCAGGGTTAGATCTGTGAGTTAGCCATGCCCTGACTTAGATCAGCCCAGAGGTTGTTTTAGGGCTCCATCTGTGAGTTAGCCGTGCCCTGACTTAGGTCAGCCCAGAGGTTGTTTCTGGATTCGATCTGTGACTTGGTTCAGCCCATAGGTTGTTTCGTATATATCGATAAAATTCGAAGATGTTTTGTGCCTGTTAAGCCAGTAATCTCTGTTGTAATTGTTAAGCGGTTTAGTTGATTAGTCTAAATGCCGTCCACACGAATCTTAGTACACTAAGACTTTACAGATGGCAAATAAGGATGATTTTAATAAACCATGCAGAATAATTAATCGTTGACCCAAATATATCTAAAGTCGAGCATTTAAAGGCAGCAGAAAATAAGTCAAATTACTGAATATTTCTGTATTTAAAACAATGTTGTTCATAATCTAGGGTAACAATGAAGAAAGTTAGTATAAAGCGAGTTTCGTAGGGACAAAATGCTATAAATGTAGGACTATTACAAATTCTGTATTATGATTGGCCGGCGCCACTAGTGTCGATTACTGAGTGATATATCTTCCTATAGTGAGAAAAACGAACGCAAAGCTTTTCGACTTAATTTTGGAGGTTTTGTATACTTATATTCACTAGACGACTATTATATCTGTACTAGAATCATTAAACCTCTTTTASTTAAGACTATTGTTAAATAACCCATCGATATATTACATCTCGAACTGTCCGCTCTAGGCTAAGTGGTTGCCTTCAGGTTGTCCGCGGTTTGRACGACTGTTTCCGCAATTATCAACACAGTAGACTCTCTTGATATGAGCACGAGATTCAATTATTCGCTCGACATGAAAACTTTTCTTGTCTACAAAAATTACTTTACTCATGTTCGGACCGTAGTATCGGATGGCATTTCAAATATTCGCCCCCATTTCCTGCGCGTCCTCGAAAGCAAGGACAACAGAAATAACAAAGAATTCAACTCGATAAAGTCCGTTCAGGACTGATACTGGCTGAGAATGCTAGAATATTGATTTCATCTCAAAAATATTTTGGTATAATAGGCTTGTGATTCTGTAAGTCCTGACTTCAATAGCGTGATTTTTATATGAGTGGGAAACATATGGCACTGACTTTATTAAAGCACGTACACCGGTACGACGCTGAAATGGCTTCCCATTGTCTTCCATTAATTCATCCAATCATAGCGCGTAGTTGAAGATACGATAAGGTACGGTACGGCTACAGTAATGCTACGAAGCTACCGTATCGTTCCCCACTCATACGAAAAATAAAAACCGCTCTACCCGTATCACGCTATTTGGTATTTACTCCTTGAAATTCAAATACATTTTAATTAACGAGTGAATTAATGTCCTAGACACCAAGTCTCCGCTAGTTTACATCAAATATTTGACCAGGTATTTAATAGGATTTACAGCAAATACAAAATATCTGCGACTGTTACTTCTAAGACAGTTGAATTGGTGCGATTACTGTCTTATAAAAACGTGTACKCTTTAAATAGATACTCGTTTCTAACTTGGTTTACTTCGAGGTTGATTTATGCAGGTATGATCCCGCTCGCTTCTTGCGGGTAGCGTCCCCAAAATTTATGGCGCTGAACTGTCTGCACTCTTARAACATTGTTATTGAAAAATTAACACCTTTGGATCGATATAAACCGATTTTCACACCGCCAAGTAAATCTAGGCTTGGCAAACCGTCCAGTCTGGAGCCAGTCGAACTGGACATGGTTATTATATTAATTCCTGTGTCTACGTCCATCCGGTGCTAGCAGTGTCAATTAAGAATATGAGTTAAGTACAACGCTTCCATCAGACTTGGAGGTGCTTGCTTATTATTAATCACGTGACTTTTTTGGAATTGACTGGGAGCAAACAAGCGGTTGACTGAGGGGCAACTAGCGGATGTTAAGTTAAAACATGTCAAAATAAGTCCTCAAACTATTATATTTGACTATTTCTACGTCATGAAACCAGAAAGCAAAAGATCAAAACAACCTCCAAGATTCTACAAGTCATTAAAAACGTAGCTATTACCGGAAGTGACGTCTATTGATAGCAACCTGTAGCCAAAGGTGTTAATTTTTCAATAAAAATAGTTTAAGAGTGCRGACAGTTCAGCGCCATAAATGTTTGGAGCGCTACCCGCAAAAATGCGCGCGGGACCATACCCGCATTAATAACTGTTTTTCTTAGATGTGTCGGTATTAATTGCAATTGAATGCAAGCACCATCGTATGCTAGAAACGTTTATGTAGTCAATTATCAGTTGAGAAGATAATACTTCCCTCCTTCTCTCCCTTTCTCCTCCCCCCCCCCCCCCTACATTTATTCCTCCTTCCCTCCTTCCCTCCTTCCCTCCTTCCCTCCTTCCATCCTTCTATTCCTCCCTTCTAACTCCATCCATCCATCGCTCCCTTCTCCCTCCATTCATCCTTACATCCAGACCTTCCTCCCCACCTCCCTACCTCCCTCCCCACCTCCTTCTATCCTACAGCTGTGAACTGACTTCATCCGTAATAGAATGTACAGTTAAAACAATTTAAAAAACGCTATATCGTTTAAAAATTACAGGGAARTAGTAACCGGTACGGCACGCAGTTCTCTTTCATCAAAAAAGCGTGTTGCGCTCTAAGAAACCGTATGTAGATCTTGTCCCGAACATCATGATCTCAAAAGCTGTACCACTGACCTTGTTGGTTTTTTAGTTGCCCTTATTAGATAATTTKTGTGAGGGAGACTAGTGTGTGTGTAAACACCTTTTATTAAGAAAACTTAATTGTAATCTTATTCCACAGGAAGCCCACCTATGTTTTATGTTCAAACGTGCGCAGCTACAAAAGTGAGTGTAGACGTATCCGGGAACCCTGTGGCTCGTTATCGTCTCATCATAATCCTTACGGGGGTCCTGTGGCGTTGTGCTCTTGTCTTAGCAGTCAAGGTTATTCAATCCAAGGTAACGATAAATATATCTAGGCTTAAATGTCTTTWWRAAATGTTYCCTTAGACACGTTTAGAATATCTATTTCATATTTAAGTGAAATATAATCAAAAATATTGAATATTSGTTGGGAGCGCGTGMTTTATGAGAGYACACAGCASGCGCGCGCAYTTTCAGTTGCGTCATTCCTATCCAAAATAAASGTTATTAAAATTTGTATYCTATAAAAGAAATAAAAAACTTGCTTGCTTTGCTGTTTGGAGTTATAAAGCACTTTGGGATTGGCAGAACACTTGAGAAGTGTCGCACCCCGCTRCACATCTTGCTTCTCCTAACACTTCTCTCGTGTTCTGCCAACCCCGCGTGCTATATAACTGCACAGAGCACACGCGCGCGTTTTCTATTTTTTCAATAATGCGAATTTACGTTTTTGAAGTTCATGATGACGTAGGTTAAAACCAAGAATGAGTACATTTCTAATATTTTTAAGGCCGGTTTAAAGGGTACGATTTTCGCCTACAACTATCGTATACAATACGCTCGCGTCTGTCGTAGGCGAGTTGTAGGCTTGATTTACACGCTACGACTCGAGTTTTAGGATGGCGCGAGGGTGTTGTAAACGATAGTTGTAGGCGAAAATCGTACCGTCTAAACCGGCCTTTAGAAAGTTCAATTCAATTYGGGGAAAAGTACATATAACCTTCAGAAGGCCGGCCACTTGAGCTATTAAATTTTATTATCCAACGGTCCCG